TTTAACACTATAAGCTACGCATGTTTTAAATTATAAACTCAATTTAAACAAACATTGATATTAAAATAAATATATAATAACTAATTCGTTACAGAAGAAACTACCTTCATGTATCTAATATCACTGTATAAGTTGTTCCTTTAAATTTTCTAAAACGCAAGCAACAAGTGATGGCAAGGAAATTTTGAAAATTGTAATTGTTTGAAGTGATGTTAAACTTGTGCTACAACTAATATAAGAAAGTTTATGGACGAAAAGCATGAAAGGCAGGAGCTAATATCTTAAAAAAATATATAAATTTTAATAAAATACTAAAATTTTTATAAACAAATTGTTGTTATTCTTGCATATGCCCACTAAAAACTAATTATTATGATGAATTATGTTTTAAATTGAATTATTTTGAAATTGACAAATGAATTAGTCGCAGACTCATTAATAAAATGTTTTTAAATTACTGAAGAAATTCAAATAATTATACTTTAATAAACGTGTATGTTAAAGTTTCTATATTCAACAGTATAACTTTTTGGATTTATTTTTCTTCCTTGATTGTAAAATGAAAACAGGTAATTTTTATCTTTATAAAACATTTCCAACATGGCCTACTTTCAGTCTTATTCTTGATAACTAAATTAATGACTACGTTAACATAAAGCATTATCATGATATTTGAGTCCCCTGGTTGGTAAGCGATAAGTCTACGAAATTACAACACTAAAATCCGGGGTTCGATTTCCCGCAATTGAGAGAGCGCAAATAGCCAATTGTGTAGTTTTATGCTACAAAAACAATATACTAACAGAACACCAGGTGGCGCTAGCTCTCACTTTATACAAGTTTTAATCTAAACATCACAATTAATCATAACTTACTTTGAAGTCTAACCGAATTTAGCACACATAACAACACTGAATCCTTACAATACACAGTGGTTAGGCTTATATAGCCTAACGCTCCATATCATTTGTAATTTTTAAGGTATCATCAATGCTTACTTCACTCAAACACTAACTTAAGCTGTGACATTTACTAACTAAAAGTGTAACACAAATGTTAAAGATCACCAGCAGGTATTCATATTTCAAAAATATAATCTATAATTATGCCAACAAATAAATAAAATATCTTCCTACAATCCATAGCATCATCCAGAAATGACCAAAGCTGCTGCATTTTCCACCTAAATGACAATGCATTTATATATTTCCCTCCCTTCGTAGAACCTGGTACCCACTGAACAGTAGACTTTTCCATAAATCCTTGCTGACGGCAACGTTTATTTTCTCTCTTCACAGACGACCAGAGAAATTCATACACAGCCACTGTCTGAATTACGAAGAAAGAACAACAATAAGAAACCAGGTAAGACGTTTATATATTTTTATAACAGTTATATAATCACACTAGCTTCACGTTATATCTAAAAAAAAACTATTTTAATTGTCTTGCGCGTGCTCCGTTATTAAGTTAGCTTGGCACGAGAACAAGGTATCAGAGTAATGTAAAAGGACAAGAGTTTCCCTAATTGGAATTGAACGGAGCTACCATTCAGAACAGTGGGATTTTAAGACTTATAAGTTGTACTAATTTTGAAATATATGACTGTAGTGGACACTATAAAAAAATGGTTAAATTACAGTGTTACTAACCACAAAATCGTTTACACTTGTGAACAGATGTTAAAACCAGGACATAGCATTAGCTTTACATTAAGTTTATATGTTGGCGATTTCAAGAAAACAACTGTAACAGTGTAACCGTAACTTAAGTGAGAAAAAAAAATGGAATAGCGAAAGTATACGTAATTTTGAAACTGGTTTTGTTTTATTCGTTATTTGATGGCTGAATTATGTGGAAATTTTACTTTTTAGATTTGCTTTGAAAGTTTTATCATTGAACATATTTAGCTCAAAACCGCAGTACTCAACTGTTCGTTTATAATGATCTAATAATATGTTTCGTATAACACTAGAACACTGATAAAACAAGGTTCTGGCAACTGTTGTATGACACTCACTATTCTTGTTGTATCTGCTTTGTTATTGTACAGATCGAACTATAAAATATCATTGGAAAGTCTTATTGACCGGGTTTGGGTGGAATTGATTAATGTAACTTTATTGTTCTCTTGCTTGTGGTAATTAAGATGAATGAATTTTATTCCTTTGACATTTTCAGAAATTGTGTGTCTCTCGAGGAAAGAATTCAAAAAGCAATGTTCTTAAATTGTTAGTTATCAACTTTTTTGGATGGCGATGACAATTATATGTGTTAATTGTATTTTGCCTTACTCTCAAGTTAATATATTATAGTAACACTTCTCAAGTGTACTAGTATGATCAAGTCACAACAAGATAAGTATTCGTTGTAAATTTTTTGTTTATTTATTTGTTGAATTTTGGGCAAAGCTAAAGGAAGGGCTATCTACTCTCGCCGTCTCTAATTCTGAAATTGGAGACTAGAGGGAAGGCAGCTAGTCAACTATTGGGCTACTCTTTTACCAACGAATAATAGAATTGACTGCCACATTATAACTCCCAATGACTGAAAGGGGGGAACATATTCAGGTAAGAGTTTCGATTCCACGACCCGCAGTTTGCATAGATCCCACTGTATTTGAGCGATTTGTATATACTACTGCAATGATGTATCTCTGAAGTTAAGAACCATTATACTATGGACGATATGCTCAGCACCTATATTTCTGGTTCACGGAGATACATTTACAGACGTACAACGCTAAACTTCGGAGTTCAATGTGGCTTTGCTCTAAAACAAGCAAACATTACATACATCAGTTGCAACATATCAAAATTAGCATGTCGACTTTGAAATGCATTATACTTATTTATTTTTAGAAATGAAAATACTTATAACAAAGTACAAACGCTCCTTGTGGATAAACGTTTTTTATTGATCTGCATTATAATTAGTCAAATATCATTATCTTATATAAAATATTTAAGATCGTTTAGACTTTTATATCTATCTAGTGCTATCTAGTTTATGAACGTATTTAATACGTTGCAGTGTGTTTCCACAAACACACACATATGTACATCACTTCTGTGAAATTTACAGAACACTGTACCGGGGCTTTTAAAACACTATGTATAAGTAATATCGGACCTTCATCCAGAAAAATATAAAAGTTGTTTTACATTTATGGAGTTTTACAACCCGTTTCTTTAATGGGAGGTTTCATAGATTTAAAAAAGGTTCTTAGGCTGAAGAATTAAACGAGAGGTGGGTAATGTATAATCAAGGTGAATATGATTTGCAGTGATTTGATATGCTTTAGTATACTAATTATTTGAGGAAAACCATATTCCTTCAAGAATCGCTTAATCGAATTACCAAGATAACAGGTTAGTAGCCTATAGTGTTACATAAGTCTGATTATTTAGCTACTTTTTTGTATATATATAGATCCTAGCTACTAATTTATTTATATTGTACGTTTTAGCTGCTGTATTTTGGGAAGTCTTGAAAAAGAATGTGGTTTTTTGTGGTAGTGGCTAGGGTTCGATCCTAGGATTTCGGGATAGAAAGGCTGGTAACTATCCACGGTCTTTAATATACTATTTAAATACTTTAAAGAGGGGTGCAGATTTTGCCGACTTCAATGTTAAGTTGACTGAGTATGTTATTAGTTTAATTGGGTATAGATGGTTTCTTTTATCTTTCTTGCCCCCCAGTGGCTCAGCTGTAAATCTGAAGACTTATAATGCTAAAAGCCGAGTTTTGATACCCGTGGTGGCCACAGCACAGATAATCTGTGACATAGTTTTGTGCTGAACAACAAAAACTGTTGGTTATACAAAACTGTTTAGTGTAGGCATTATTATTTAATTTATTTTGTGAGTTAATATTTAATGATTGTTTAGTTTTCATAACAAGAGAGTTAGAAGCTAATCATTTTAAAGGCGACAGTGTGACAAGTTTGGTATAGTAACTACGTACGAGTCGTACGTTGTTTTTGCAATTACATTGTTGTCGAGGCTTAACTAATATTTTTGACGTCACGTTACTCGAATCTTCGGTATTTTACTACTTACCTTAACTGGGTATTGTTAAATCAGCACCATTCGAGCACTTTACAGAAAATTCCAGAGGCTTCAGTGATCAACATATAAATAGCGGCGACCAAACAAGCCAAAGTGAAGTAAAATATAAATAGACAAAAGCTAGAAAACATGAAGTTAGCTGGCGTATGAGTGATTAGCCTTAACGGTTGACATTTTAAAGTGAGTTTCACAGTTGGATAGAAATAGGAAGAAGTATTTGTCTTGTCAAAGGGTGTTCTAAAGTAATTGAACCCGCCTGTGTGGACTTTGAAGAAAATGAGACAATTGTTTAAAGTTCAGGATACAACTGTGGTAACCCAAGGGGTAACGTAAGCGAATTATTCACTGATAATATTGTGATAAAAATAGAGAAAAATGGTTCGTCTTGTCAATTGGATTCTAAAGTAATTGAATCAGCCTAAGTGGTCTTTTGACAAGAAAAAAGAGAATCATTTAGAGTTTGTGATATCCATAGTATAAATAATTTTTGTACATAGCTTGACTTGTTTTGAATATATTATTTTCAAACAAGAGGAGTGTGTGCTGTCCATTTATTGTCGAATTTATCGCCAACAAGTCACAGACACCTACTGTAGAAGAATCCTCAGCCCACATAAACATAAAACCCTGACAAAAACAAACAACTTATCTTTATTTTTCTTGTGTGTGTGTGTGGTTTATATCCATTATTTTAATATAATTCAGTCTTCTCTGTCATGATGAGATATTGCATTATATATAATAATTACCGAGTCTTGTATGTCTGTTATGATCCTCAATTCTAACTTTTGTTTGTTGGTTTGTTTATTTCTCCAGCGGGATGTTGTAAATGGGGGTTTTGCTCTCCATTGGGCCTTTAGGTAGTTTGGGGTAAACTAACTGCGCTCGTATTATGTTGTGGCCTATCAATATTGTTCTGACTTTATGCTATTAACATATCCTCTGTATGTTTTTAATGAAATCTTCGACATCGCTGAATATGGCTGCGTGTTTGTAATTTCTTCAACATCCCTGAATATGGCTGCGTCTCTGTAATTTTCTTCGACATCGCTGAATACGGCTCTGTGTCTGCAATTTTCTTCTTGGTGTTTTGACTTTGGTGATAGTATAGGCTAGTAACCATGACAACGATTGGTATCCAGTCGTCTCGACCTTAACATAAATACTTGAAATCCCGTGATTTAACGCTTGATAGCAAAGGGACATTATTACAAAAAACATTATAGTCTGTTTTAATTAATTATTTAGGGTTCGATGTTATTATATGCTGAAGTCGCTGTTATATGCACTTGTACATTCACAAGTTAGAAGCGGTAAAAACGTTCATTGAAATACGTTTGCTGTTTTGATTGATGGAACTCAAAATGCATTTAGTTTATTAAAATATCTATATTGGTTTGACGATTACTTGTCACCTCTCCAATCTAGCACATTTCTTTAACTATTGTGCCCTTGTAGCCTTTGTGAAAATGATTGTATTATTGATTCAAGAAGTGTATCCATTACTGGTTAGAATTTGTTGAATCGGACAGTTTACAATATTTTAGCCCCCCAGTAGCACAGCGGTAGTTCTGCGGACTTACAACGCTGGAAACCGAGTTTCGATACCCACGGTGGGCAGAGCACAGATAGCTCATTGCATAAATTCAACCAAACAAACAAAATACAATATTTTATTCCCTCCTTTTCAATGACTGTTTGTATATAAAAAGCTTTCTGTGTATTTGGTAATAAATCTTTATCATTTCGCTAAGATTAAAGAACAGAATTTTTATGTTTGTTTGTAGTTAAGCACAAAGCTGCACAATGGGTTATCTGTGGTGTGCCCGCCACGGGTATCGAAACCTGGTTTCTAGCGTTATAATTGTAAAATGTTTAGTTTGTACCATCACAGTGTTTATGGTGTGCTTAACTGCTTTTACTCCCTAACATATATATTTGGGTAACATCGAAGACTGATTCTTGGCATGTAGTAAAAAACTGTAATATAGTTTGAGTATAAACATAACTAGTCACAATTTAATACTACAAAAAGTGTTATCAGTTTTTAAAGACAACTAATTTCTAAGTTCAAAGTTTTTTACTTTTGCAAATTCATTTTTACCTACTATCTAGACTTTTTTTTGTTCTAAGATAATTCTTAGGAAACAGTTTTCGAAAAAATAACTTCACTCTTTCATGGATCTTATATCTTTGTATATGCTCACATCTTTTTTTACGGATTATATGCATTTCGTATTTTTTTTTTACTGTCATTATAGTGTGGGTACTCAGCAGGAATCATCATATCTTTCT